CGTGGGTACTGTGATAAAAAGTAAAACCTTAACCCCTAGTGATTTTACAAATACCTCCATACAGTTTGTATGGCAACAGCAATGACGTAGTTTGCCATTGCCCTTTTCCTGGGTGGTTTTTTTAAAAAACTTCCCAGTTTAGCCTCCAGCTCTCATAACCTCAGATAGTTTTCTATTGAAACTCTAACTTGCCCCACCTATGCTTGGTTCCCAAACCTAGAGAGCGAGCCAGTGAGGTGCCACCAATATCTTTTATTTCCTCCTTCCAAAGACATATGCCATTGTGTAAGATGGTGTCTTTTATTTTCTTTGGTCTTCTTGGCAGGATATGACTTCTGGTTCAGAAGCTGAAGCCAGCCCTGTTCTGTGCTTTGAACTTGATCTTCCCCTACTTCTCCCTATCTACCACAATGTCTTTGAAGCTGCCCTTATCATCAGCACATTGATTGCAGAAGGCTGAGCCATGAGTTTCATACTTATTTCTGGAGAGGAAGATGGTAGACATGGCTTTCTGGAGATATTAAAAGCCTTCATCTGTGCTTTACTTTTTTTCCAACCTATTAGTTTTCTTCCCCTTTTAGTGCTCCTATTTTCTTCCCTACCATATGCACACACACATACCATGTGCTTCATAGGGGGAGGTCTTCTTTCTTTTAAGCTCACTCTTCTTCTTCTTCTCTTTCCTCCACAGCAGAAGGTCTCCAGCTGTTCTTTTGCCTACTTCCTTCCCTTTCAAAGCCCAAGCCCTGGGAGACCCTCCTCCCTGGCTCCAACTTGGAAGCTAGGGCCTCATGGACTGCTTAGCCGGAGACGCTGCCTATAAATCATTGTACATCCACTTGCTAACAATAAAGAGGCAGCTGGAAGAGCATATATAGCATGAGTAGGGTTTGCGGTAGGAAGTGGAAAAACAACAATGGGAAATGATCACAGCATTGTATGAAAGAAATTCTATGCTCAGAAAATCATGAATTTGCAACAGGAGGAAAAGTTTGCTCCAAAATGAGTTAAAAGCAAGCAAAGACTATATAATATATCAAATACAATCATTCCTTTGTTCTGTTCCCACTGTCAGAAATTAAGTTGTCAGCTTTTTAGGATAGTGGCCTGTCATTTCCTCTTCCCACATACTTTAAAATTGTGAAATTAATAATACTGCCTAAGTAGCAACACTAATTGGGCGAGTTAGAGAAAGAGCAAATTGCATTCATGGGATCTACCATGAAAAAGCCATATAAAGAGCAGGCTATTTGGGGTGGATAGGGGTGAGATAATATGAAACTGCTATCAACAGTTTAGGAAGCAGGTAAAGGGATCAACATGGAAGAAAATCCCTTGAATCAAAGATGGGGTCATACCTACAGCATTAATATTTATAAAATTAGGCAGAATGTTGCAGCAATATTCATGGATTTGCTCCTAAGGAAAAGCCTAAAAAGAGAGCACCAAATACACCCATAACAGAAGTAGTGCTGCTATGTTTTGAAAGACAAGACTCCTGTGATTTTGATCTCTCCAGAAATGTGTGTGGCTGGATTTTATAGGGAGAAATCCATCTTGAAGTCAGTCAGATTTGGTAGTTTGGCAGTTAGTTTACTGGCTTTTGTGACATGACATACTTAAGTTCTTTCTCAAGCTTCTTGAAATTAGAGAGATTCCTGGATTTTTATAATAAGCAGGCAGGCAAATAGTGCATGTTAAATCACAATTTAAAATCCTGTCATGGCATTAATTCTGCCCTGTAAATCAGTTTTTGAAGATGGCATTAGCTATCAAGTAAGCCCCTCCCTGAGCTTTCAGAGATGCTTTCAATTATTATACCAGTGCTCTGTGAGTTGGTCGGAATTTAATTAAAGATATTTGTGCTAACCAGCCTCTCTCCTCCAGTCCCACTGATCCAGCTACCACCCTCCTTTTTGGGGCTCAGTAAGAATATTAAAATCTCTGTTAATTTGCTGTTGGATCCTGGAATTATATGCAATACATGCAATTTTCCAATATTTTATTACCATTTGTATTTGCACTGTTGTACTAGCCACATTTTTCCAGCTTTAGGCCATTTTATCTTCTCCTTCTTCCAAAGAGCATTTTATAATACTCATTATAAATACTCATAATAACCATATGAAGTAACAAAACTGATCACATGTATCAGTGGTCCTATAAAAATCTTAAATTGTGCAGGGATCTGAAGCTGGGAATCCCCTGCCCTAGCACGATCTTAGTTCCATGCCCCATTTTTGGCTCTCCTTTCTTTCTCCATTTGCATTAGTTTTCCATTCCTGCTACTCTCCTGGCCCTGAGATCTCTCTCCCCTGTTGGCTGGCCTTCCTTTGTCCTCTTGAAGCATTTTCATCCAGCTTGCTCTCCAAGGCTGCTGGGCGGGAACAGTCACTTCTATCCAATGCTGCAACAGAAAGTCTTTTTCCTCTTGCAACATGCCGCTTCCTCTTCTAGCATGTTAAAGCCTTTCCCATTTGGAACCCAACATGGGACTCTGCCCAGATTTTCTGGGCTGAGTCTCATCCGGTTCACTCTAGTAGTGAAACAGAGAAGGGATGATATCACTGAAGCTGAGAACATGTAGCTAAAGAACCCTGATGTGTGGCAGCTGCAGAGATTTGGGGGTAGACAGTGGGTTGAAGTATGATGGAATTATGGAGACTGAGTTAGCTTTGATGAATTTGGTAGGTGGGAATTGGGAAGCCACATGGCTCAGCAAAATTGGGCGGTGTCTATAGGGCTCTAAATGGAAAGAGTGAGTTTCAGAGAAAATGAAGAGCAGGATTTCCT